AAAAAAAGAAAGTGAGGTTTATTTGGCTCACAGCTTCCAGTAGGTTCAGTCCAAAGTTGGCTGGGCCCAGTGCAGAAATGGCAGGGCGGAAGGGCCTGGCCGAGGGCTGCTGCTCATCCCATGGCAGCCAGGAAGCAGAGAGAAGGGTTGCTGGGGACAAGAATGAGCCCTTCCACACCCCACTGCCCTGCCTTTTCCTACCAGGCCCCTCTCCCAAAGCACACCTGCTACGAACTCATCAGTGGGTTAATCTCCTATGAATACGGCGCCCCTATGAGCCAATCTCCTTCCAACAGCGCCACCTCAGCACACAAAACTTTTGGGGAATGTTTATATCTAAACAGCAACTACCCCTTTCTTTTGGTTAGCTCAAAACTCCCCTTTTGCATTAGGCATTCTCTGGTACCCTGTTCATGTTCCTATTTCTGCAGCCTAAAAAGAAAGCAGAAGGCCTGTAACTCCACACTGCCTTGCAAAAATCTGTCTGTACACAAGCCTAGCAGCTCTATGCAAAGCTCCTATGAGCCATTTCTTTATACAGCTCTTCTGCTCCCCATAAGACTGTAGTGGTTTATGCACCCTTAAATTCAAAGGGAATTAATGAACAGATTTACACAAAGTAAGATGGAGGTTTCACTGGGAGGAAGGTGAAAGCAATCAAACGTTTTTGCCTTCTGAATGAGTTTAAGACAACCTAAAAATTCCAGGGCAAGGTTTTAGAAATTTTGAGCTTGTCATCTAAATTCTCTTCTAAGAAACCTAATGTGCTATCTCTTGAGCAGCAGTGCAGGGCAGTAGTTAGTGTTCGGTTTAGGAATGATACTGGGTTCATGGTAGACTCTACATTGTCACGATGAGCGCTCACTTTAGAGCCGTTCTGCCTAGCCATCTGTGAGCCTAAGGATGGACCATGTTGGTGAGCTGTAACAGGAGTGAGTTGTACAACACCACCTGTGTCTTGGGCCAAAACATTTGCTTCACTTTTAAAATGCACATATCTTTGGAGAGGTGAATTAATCTATACAAATACACCCTGAGTCCCATTGTTTAGAATCTATATAAGTCTGTTATTGTCTACACTAAAAATATGGTACTTGCACAGTTTAGTTTATAGAAAAAGAACATGTATTTCTTCAATAGCCAGGAGTCTGGGTTGTACTTAATATATCTGAGTGTGACTTTTGGATTTAAGTGCATTATTATTCACGTCTCATGTAATAAATCTGCACAATATGGTAAAAAAATAAAAGAGTTTTAAAAAGTGAATGGTGGCTGGACCTAGTGAAACTCTGGCGTGTGAAACTCAGTAAATTTTACCAGTAATTAAAACTGCTAATTCAAGATCCTGAAGGTATTGTATCTTTCAAGCTTGCTGCGGCTTTGAAACATCCCTGGGACAAGAGATCTGGCTGCCATAGGGAGGACAGGGACAGGGTGACCGAAAGGCTGACGGCAGCGAATACGGATCGACGCTGAAAAGAGCCCCGTGTCTACTGAGGAGCAGGAGGACTGGTGGCTGAGGGACGGCCCCCTGTGTCTGCAAGGTCGAGTTCTATTTAGCATCTTCATTCATGACGGCACTCAAGGCTTACGTATTTTGTTAATAACATTTTTTGGTAGGTACTAAATCAGGAGGTGCAGCAGACATCATTGAGGACAGGGAAGTAACACAGATGGGTCTAAAGAGATTAGGAATATGAATAGAAATTGTCATGATGAGATTTGATTTAGTCCAGAATACAAAGTAATCAGCGGGCTGGGAAAGCTAGAAAGCAGCAACAGAGTGTGCCCAGCAGGAAAGCAAAGGTAAAAAGGGTGAGCAATGACGGGGTGCCATCTCGGTCCAAGTAGCCGGTGGCAGGTACAAGAAGAAACAGTCTGCCAAGGAATTGCACTGCAACACACAAATGCTTCTAGAGCTGATGTAGGAAAATAAAAACAAACCAAGCTATTTAGGCTTTTGTTCCTTCTATTGCTAGAAAAGGGACGAAATACCTGGCTTCTGAGGACCCCCAGTTCTAGTTGCCTGTGATAACAGAAGGAAATTCACCCTCTTTTCTAGAGATCCTCTTTGTGAAGAGAAGGTAGAATGGACAGTGAGCTGGAAAATGCTTCCAAATAGACCTCAAACTGACATTCGTCTGCAGCATATCTTCCTTGCACTATAGATATGATGCTAAATTAACATAGAATACCAGGTAGTTATTTATTACAAAGATAACCCTGTTTTATTAAACGTTGTTAAAAATATGAACCTTTAAGTGTTTTTAAGGTGTATAATTTTTCATTCACAAAAATTTACCTTACAACAGAAATGCATGCATAGTCCCTGTCCTCCCTATGGCAGCCAGAGCTCTTGTCCCACGGATGTTTCAAAGACACAGCAAGCTCGAAAGATACAAGAGCAGGAGACACCTGCAGGAAAAGGTATCCACCCTACAGCGAAGGGAGACACAATGCAAGAGAGGGAGCTATACGTCCCTGTTGCTCAGAACAAACCCATTTATGGACAATGCTCTCCCCTCAGCTCTTGGGCTGCCACGTTTCCATTCCCCTGAGAGGCATTTCATTATGTGACTTCTCCCATCTCACCTACTTTCACTGACCTGGATTCCCAACAAAGAAGGAAGCAAGCAGGTTATTCTCTACCAGAAAAGTACATTTCTATTGTTAGGGCGTGTAGTGAATCCTGCCACGTAAAGGCAGAAAGAAGATATGAGTCTCACACAGCAGCCTTGAGAGTCGTCATTCCCCACCCCTGGCTGCACCCCTCCATCTGCCAGAGACTCCCACTGTGGCTGATGGGGTCACAGAGCACCACGTGGACAGCTAGGGGCTTCGATGAATCAATAAATCACCATTATCACAGCAAAGGTAAGAGGCGCTGCTCAGAGACACCATTTTTCATGTATTTAACAAATAATCCCTCCGTTTTTTCCATATAATATCTCATTCTTTTCTAGAATATAGAAAGGAGTAAGCTATTAAGTTGATCCTCATCAAAGACAAGAACAATTTATCAAATTTCACCATAAGCTTGGCACTTGTTATTTCATACCCCCTCAACTCTGTGAGGTTAGCATGACTATGTTCCCTTTGTAGACAAAGAATCTAAGATTTTCATAAAGGCTACATCTAGACAGAGCTAAGAATTCATCCAAAACCTGGGTGCTTCTCTCTACAATGTGCTTTCTCCCCCAAGTTAGTTAAAATCACAGTCTGGTATTGTTATGTGATGTTTTGATAAGGAAACTTAAGTTTTCAAATATTGAGTTATAAACAAATAATCTCAGTCAGAAAAATGTCAAATTTTAGGCTCTCAGTTACAAGTTATTTATCTTGGAAAAGACAGTTCCAGTAATAAGGGTGTATTATAACTGCCTGAGTGTATAATTGGAGCCTAAAAATAATAAATGGTTTGAACAAAATAAACGAAAATATTGAGTTAAGTCCCGAATGGCATCTTGAAGATAAGCCAGTAAGTTTCTAAGTTATGATAAACAAAATACAACATTGAAATAAGATGATGTGGTTGAACTCAAAATAAAATGCAGCATAATTCACATTGCCAGTGGTAAACAAAAGAACACAAATTGAAGTGCCTATTTCTCCTTAGTGTGCAGTAGCTATTTCCTAGGACCCTGGTGCTAACTCCTGACTACTCGGCATAACCAGCATAGATCCATATCACCTGTGACACTTTCTCAGTTCAATTACTGTGTTATTCGTTCAGTGCTTTACGAAAGCTCAAACTGTAGACAGAAGCCCGAGTAGGAAAATGACTCCAAGCCACAAAAGCACTGAGAGAAAGGCTCAGGTCAGGCTGTCCTATAGGGGTGGAGGCCCATTGCAGAGGTGGACAGGCCAGTTGTGTGTCTGAAAGTCTCAGGGAAGCTCCTAGGTTGCCCATTTCCCTGGACCTTAAAGCAATTTTAGGAATCCCCATCTCTTCCCAGTAGATAAAAGTAAACAGGGTCTAGAATCATCCACACACACACAAAAGCAGATACTTTGAGAACAAGTTGCGCTCACCCACACTGCCTGGATTAGATCAAAAATTTGGAAAACATATCAATCATACCAAAATCCCAGCAGCTCAGAAAGCCCAAGGGGCAGGAAATGGTCTAGGACTAGAATCGTCTTAAAGGACATGGCCTAACCCTAGTGTGTTGATGACATTCTCTTACATTTTTATAGCTCCCTGCAACTTCCAATGGTTACATAAGCGCCCTGGGAATAAAGTTGTATTCTTTTTTTTTTTTTTTTTTTTTGTTTTTCTCTGGTACCGGTAACTGAACTCACGACCTTGCACTTGCCAGGCAGGCGCTTTGCCACTGAGCTAAATCCCCAGCCCCTAAAGTTGTATTCTTATTGTCACAGGTGATGAGGAATGAGTCACAGCTGACGAGGAATGAGTCACAGCTAGCCACCATCAGTGTAAAATCTCTGCATCTTCAGCCAGATCAAAGTCCATTCATGCAGATCTAGTAGGGCAAGTTTAGGACTATGGAAGAGGGACAAGTCAGGCTGGCCTGCATCTGCCTACCCTCTGTGTGCCATTTCTTAGGCCTATAAGTGGGCAAAATTCCCTCACCTCATTAAACTTCAGTTTCCTCATCAGTAAAATGGCAGTACACATCACATTCAGCTCACAGTGTTATGTGAGGATCATATGAGACAACAGTACACTCAGCCCAGAACCCAGCCCTTGCTTAGAGCAGGGACAGTGCTGGGCACTTCAGGTACTTACAGCGTGGACTCGGTGGCTGAGCCTCCTAGGCAACTCTGTAGTTCAGTGGCCTCAGGGCACGAAAGCCCCAGTGAACAATTACTATATTTAAATCTCCACGGAGACAAATAAAAATCTTGGGACAGACTGTGAGTGCTTGGGGCTCAGCACCAAGCCCAGGGCCAAGGTGGAGGGTGTCCACCCATCCTTCCTTTCCTCCCCAGGGCCATCTGCACTGGGTCCCCAGACAGAGACAACCCAGTATCCTCACCTGGAAAGCCATGGAGTTGGCGGCAGCCAGGAAAATCCTCAGAGGCAGCTTGGCCTTATAGGACCTGTGGCTCCACAAGCGGTGGGCACCAGCTGTCACACCCAGAGCGGTCACAAGGAAGCAGAAGTAGGCTGCAAGACACAAGCAGAGACAGTGTTGGCAATTGTCACTGAGCCTTTCAACATCCCCATGCTTTTTCCCTCTCGAGTGGGGACCTGTGTGAAGTGGTGTCAGGGGAGGAATCTGCAGCGTGAAGAATCAATGACCTGAGAAGACGTGGCTTTCCAGTATGGGGCAGACGCAGACTGAACTTTCTTCTGGAAACTCTGGCCTAATTTCAGGAGGCTTTAAACATCAGTTCCTCCTCCATCAAAAAGTGTTTTAACTGCTTGTTTTCTCCTTGGCCTTGCAAGAGCCTGAGAGGACAGTGCCATTTGGGCCTCCTAGTCCACTCTGCTCTGAGAGTGAGGCTGATCACTGTGCTGCCTCTGGGTTGGCCAGGCCAGTGTCATATGACGAGTGTGTTTCTAAGCAGCAGTGCCTGCAATCACAGCTTCATGGGCCTTGGACTGAAGGAAACTGAGCCAGGCTTAAGAGCAATGAAGTCTGACTCAGCCCAGTGAGAAGGAGGAACTTCGAACTCCAGAGACCTTAGTGGACACTGTCACGGCGACCTGAGAGGGGAAAGTAGCCAGCTGGGGAGATGTTCAAAGCCAGCCTAGGGGTGGGCTTGTGGGCTGCTGCACATTTAAGCATAGCACCATCTCTAATTCTTGCCAAAGGTATCACAGTTCTCAGTTCACAGATGAGGAGCAGGACCTTCCAGAGGATGAGTGGTAAACACTGCAATCAAACTCGATTCAGCCGTGTCCCCATGCCTCTGCCCAGAGACCCCCATCTCACTGCCGTGACCGCCAAAGATGGTAGTAAGGGTGTGGTAGTTTCCTCTTGGCCTGAGGACTTGGGAAAGGCCACTGGGAAAAGATATCTCCAATGTCCACTGGAGAAAGAGACATCTTGGGAACCCCAAAATGATGCCTGTTAAGAGTTTTACTACTACTCTGGTTTTAAAAGCCATGTGGCCACTTAATGCCCACTGTTTAAAACAAAATCACCTATTTAAACACAGCAAACAACCTATGAGTTTGGCATGATTATTAGCCCCATTTTAGAAATGAACTAATTTCCCAGTGTCACAAAGCTACAAATTACCTTTGCTAAGAGGCAAACCCAAGTCTGCGTGAACCAAGAACAGAGCTCCTGACCAATAGATGCCTCTCTGCCTCTTGGGGAGACATCAGGTAAATTTTATCTCCACTCCTCTATACCCTACTGTCATCTTTAATACTGGATCCCAATCTAAATGTAAAAGGGAGCTGCTTCCTTACATGGGGGGCACTGTGGTTTAGACCTAAAATGCCCCCAGAAGTTTGGATTGTGGGGGTGCTCTGCTCATCAGTGGATCCATCCATGGATGAGCTCACAGCTGAAGTTGCCGTTAGGAGGTGGGATCTGGTTGGAGGTGGTCACTGTAGGTGTGACCTGGAAGGGCGTACTTTTGACCCTGGCTCCTCCCTTCTCTCTGCTCCTGGCTGCTGTGTTGAACAGCCTCACTCCCCCATGCCCATCGGCTGTGTTGTTTCTTTCCTAGAGCAAACTGACTTTGGACTGAACCTACTGGAAACTGTAAGCCAAATAAACCCCTACTCCTCCTTATGGATGTTGGGTATTTTGTCCCAATGACAGGAAAGTAACTAAGACAGAGGGAGAAACAAGGAAGGTAGAAGGTGGGCTGTACACAATTGCTATACTTACACTGAGCACATGCAGGGCCCTCTGTAAATAATCACCACAGAACATACCTTGGGCTGTGAACGTATCACCAGAATGAGGCAGGAAATGGCTAAGGAAAAGGCTGGATAAAAAAGGAGGGCTTGCCTTAGAGGCCACTTCCTGGCACTTGATCCCCCTTCTGAGTTAAACATTAGCCTGGGACCAGGAAGCCCAGGTCTAAACACAATGGGAAAGGGTAACCAGGTAACTTAGTTTATGTACAACAGGTCCCTGGGTGTGCTTCCCTTCATCTTCTGCAACCCCTGCTGACCCTAACCCGAATTACCACGTTGTTGACTATGTAGATTTGACACCTACCACCACCCTGTCCCTGGGCTTTGAACAATTACTTTTATTGCATCTGAGGTCTAATGTCTTAGCATACAGACAAAAAGAATCAGTCAATTTTTTCAGTTTGGGCCTTGACAGTTCCCCCAAGGGCCATACAAAGTCAAAAACTCCACTGCTTGATGGAGAGGTTAAGTCAAGCTGCTCATTGGCAAGGGTCATAACCCAGACCAAACCCTCAGTCTTACCCCAAACCCTAAGGTGCAAAACCCTCAGCACTGAGCCCCTTGGGGCCATGAGCCACTCTCACTGACCCACTCCCACCCTGTGGAGTGTACTATACCAAAACCCCAAGGAAGGGTCAGGTCTGCCACCCTCAATATGGCACACTGATGCAAAAAAAGAGAGAGAATATTCTGCAGTTGAGGACTCTGGGATGACCAATGTTCTCTGTGGAACAAAAGGCCACGAGTCCAAAAGCTCATGGCTTTTATTGGTATCTCTCAGGGCGGGGAGTGTAGGGTGTGGGAGAGAGCTAGGGAAAAGAAACTTTGCAGACGTTAGCTATAAGAAAAAACAAAGCATTTTTGTACTGGGCACAGAGGCCCTCTGGTTAGCAATACAATGGATAGCTTGATATATGCAAGGTTAGCATCTTTACTGCCAGGAAGGTAAAATTCGTTTTTAGTCCCATGGCCTCAGCTGGTATGTTCTCTCATGTCTTAGCCCTGGAATCTCACAGGCTGTTGCTCATTCCAGCAATCAGCAGGGGGAGCAATTCTTGCCCGTGTGCTACAATGCAACGTGCTGGACTTTTAGCCGATTAAGGGAACATCTGCTTCAATACAGTCAGCTCTGCAGATTACAGTGAATAGGGTTGAAGTAAAGGTCAGGGAAAGATTGAAGCAAGGGGCTTTGTTTCTCAGGAGAGTTCAGCTTGGTGGTCTCCCACATACTGTATCTTTTGTTTGTCAAATAAATCATTGATTCTGCTGCTATTCTTGGAATTTCCACTTAATGCTTTGTTTAAGACATCAAGAACCTGGACAAGAGCCCTGACTCAGAAATAAGAGCAGCTATGAACTGTCCTGGATCAGGATGAGCATGTAGGGAACTTATCCCTGGTGCTTCTGAGGACAAATCATTAGGGTAACTTCACATCAGTGTACATATTTAAAAGGAGCATGATATTTCTTGTACAACTTCCAAAAGTTAAGTGTCTGGCTGCTCTTGATCTCAGTATATATTTACATGATTCTGGAAATAAGATTCAGTGTTAGGTCTAAAATTAATGGACCTTTGACTAGCTGTGATTTTCATGAACTTGACCAACCATTCTTTACTCAAAAGGATAAAAAGCAAAAAGAAAGAAAGAAGAAAAAACCTTCCTATAAATCATAGAAAGTGTAGCAAGTAAAAAGCTCATATCTCCTTTGTTACTGTAATTTAACTTTGGTCACAAGTCCATGAAATGAACAGTTATTTTCTGTGTCATCACTGTTCTTCACATCTAGAATGCAAAAATTCAACTTGACTTTTTTTGTTCAGTATGCTAAGACACTGGACCTTGGATACAATAAAAGTAATTCCAAGACTCCACAAAAAACATCAGCCAAAAAAGATCACTCCAACTCACATCTCCCAGGAAGGCCTTTACTACAGACTGCAGCATTGTTCTGTTCTCAGAATCTCCAACCCTTAGGGACCATTAGCATAGCTGGCCTGTCTTCATCCAGGGCAATGACCAAGAGCTTAAATCAGAGCCTGCGCTGGGCAGTGGTGGCTGCTGGTTTTCTATGGTGCTTCACACAGCACAGCCTGGCCTAGTGTCCGACCTCACCTTCCTGACCTTGAGAATAAACACCTGACCCCACACTTCCTCTTCCTTCTAGCTCAAAGCCCAACATGGGGTTAACTAAAGGCTACATATCACCAAGATAAAAAAAAAGTCTGATTGCAATAGTAAAGAATAAAGTCCAGCCAGGTGTGGCAGCTCTGTCTTCAATCCCAGCTACTCAGGAGGCTAAGGCAGGAGGATAGCAAGTTTAAGGCCACCCCAGGCAATTTAATAAGATCCTGTTTCAAAATTTAAAAATAGCAGACAGGAGATCCTGACCCAGAAGGCCCACAAATTGCTAACACCAGGGCTCATGTCTGGGCCCTCCTTGCATGTGCCGTGTGCCACCTGAAGTACCAGAGTAGGCAGTCCACGAACTGCTGGCACCGTGGTTTACATCTGGGCTTTACTTGTGCCCTGACTCCTGGAGGTCACACACACAGGTAGTCTGTGATCACCACCAGTGCAGCTCATGTCTGGCTCCTGTGCACGCCCTGAGCTGCCTTGAGACACGGAATCAGGTGGGCCACGAACTGTTATCTCTGTGATTCATGTCTGGGTTCTGCCTGTACCCTGAACTGCCTGGGGACACAGGACCATGGGTCTGTGATTGTGCCATCACTGCAGCCCGCTTCTGGGTCATACACATGCCCTGAGCTGCAAGGGGACAATGGATCAGACAGTCTGCCATCAGCAGACATCATAGTTCATGTCTGAGACCTGGGAGAACTAGGTACACTTCACCATCTGCTGGAAGACCCCAGACTAAGCAGCACATCACAGTGGTCACTGAAGAGCAAGCCTGACCACCAAGAAAACTAGGGACACTAGTGACCTTGGCTGAGCTGCCAGGGAAGAGGGAGACTGAGTGTTCTGCCTCTGGCATCAAACATGACAAGACTTAGGACTAACATGCAATCTCAGAACTCCATTCCACTCAGAACAAGTCCAGGAGACATCAACATAGAAGAACTGGGTAAACACACACCTGAAATTGCTGAAATGATTGCAATGGAAGTAAAGAAACAACTCCATCAGGCCATAGAAGAGATCAGATCAGAAATAAACTCTCAGGCAAAAAATAAAATGACAGTAATAATGAAAGAATTGCTCAGCACATCTAAAGAAGAAATACATAAAAAAATAAATGAACATAGGCAATGGATGGAAACA